ACAAACACACAAAATATTTTAGTCACCCTCCTGTTTCCTACCTTTTATTATTATTATTTTATTATTTATATAGCGCCAACAAATTCCATAGCGCTGTACAATGGGTGGACTAACAGACACATAATTGAGATCAGACCACTGACGTACAGGAACAGAGGGGGTTGAGGGCCCTGCTCGATGAGCTTACATGCTAGAGTTAGGTGCAGGAGGGTGACTTTCCCTGGGGTTCAGTGGTGGCTCAGGTGGATGGGAGTCAGAGTTCCCACTCTGACTCCTTCCTCCCGCACGGTCTGTGTGTTAGCTGGGAGGAGTGACGTGCAGTCACTTCCTCCCGGCGTGTGATGTAATCACAGGGGGCCCGGTCACACTGTTAAAGCGCCCAGCGCTGACCGGGCCCCTTAACAATCCACATCCATCGAGTGGCCATGACCGCATGGGCCACCTGATGGACCCCTCCATATGCAGCCCCGGCAGTTTACCGCACGGGCCGGGGCTGCAAATGGTGATGGCGGCACCCGGTCGCAGGGGTAGCGCTGGCTCGCGCCCGCCCACTCTCTCAAAATTAGAAAATCCCTACCGCCCACTAGCGGTAGGGACCAGGTTGACGACCTATGCTCTAAAGTATCAATATCCTTCTGGAGATACAGTCTCTAGTACTGTGTACAATACTCCAAGTGAGGTCTGTGTTCTGTACAATGGCATGAGCACTTCCCTCTTTCTACTGCTAATGCCTCTCCCTATACAAGCAAGCTTTCTGCTAGCATTTCCTGCTCTATTACATTGTCTGGCTACCTTTAAGACATATGAAATAATTACCCCTAAATCCCTTTCCTCATATGTTGAGGTTAGGACTCTATCAAATATTCTGTACTTTGCCCTTGAGTTTTTACGTCCAAGATGCATTTTCTTGCACTTATCCACATTGAATGCCATGTACACCCATTTTCGTACATGGTACATTGATCACCTTTTTCGTCAGAGCAGCATTACCTTCCAGAAAGTATAAATACGCAGATATTCATAATGTGATTTAATAACCATTCAGTCTAAAGTATTTGTAACATTTACAGCCTCGAGGATCACCTTGGGCTAGAGCGGATTTCCTACACCCATTTAATACCACAGGGTACAATTATACTTAACCCAAATTCCAAAACACTGCTTTGACTTTGTTGCAGTGTCGCTTTGACATAGCATTGACATCATGGCTGCCAAGACATTTGAGGTCTTCCAAAATCCCAGCCCTGCTCGACACTTGCAAACAAAATGATAAATCAGGGTACAGTCAGTGAGCAAATATTTGGGTCAAGTAGGTAAAAAATTAGAAAATAACAAATACGTGCAAAACAGCCCATCCCAGAAAATCAGTTCAGTCAATTCTTCTACAATGTATTGAGGAGTGATTTATGTTTGTTGCTGTAATCAGTTTTTTTTTTGTGTGTCTTTTAATTAATGCAATATTACTGATTAATGGTAATATTAAATAACATTGCGCTGTTTCTGTATGTCAAACGCGTTTGTTGGAATTAATTGTCTTGTTTTACCTATTGTAAAGTGTTGCAGAATTATGGCATGCATATGCAACAGATCTTGTCCTGTGATTACATCTTGATTTATTTCCTATGTTTAGGTATATAAAGTTGTCTTCACTGCAAGTTATTACTCCCCATTTACACAAAACTATATTAATATGATTAGCATTTATATAGTGCCAACATATTTTGCAGCACTTTACAATTATACCGAGGGGATATAAAATATATAAGTTATGTTTACAAAAACAAGATACATGGTGTTTTGTGATAATGTTGATAATTGAAGAAAAATAAATACTTGCATTATTGTGTTTCAAAAAAAAAAAACGTTCTTGTTCCATTAGGAGATTAATCAAATTAGAAACTTTTGGAGACTTTATTGGCTTTTGTGTATTTTACAGCGGCTACATTCATACATGATAGCAAGGACATCGTTAAAACCGTGAATTGAGTTACACAAACCTCGCTCGTTTCATATTTTTGCTTTTTAATTGCTCTCCTTGCAAATCCAGATGTTTGTGAACTACATGTCCCATAATGCAGAGAGAAGCGAAAGAATTCAGTGACGGAAATCAATAAAGACCTGTGAATGCTTTTTACATTATTCAGCTAAATGTGCTCATTTTCCCTTTGCGGTTCAGATAATATTGTGCTTCTCATGTGTGTTTATACAAAACTGGTTGGAGAATTCTAACACAGAGGAATACAAGGGGAACTGAAGTGCTTTCTACCATCAAAACAACAGAAGAGAAACCAAAAATGGGGAAGCCTGCTTGAGAAACATAGACTGATAACTTATTTTGGAACTGTTTTGTTTGAGGTGTTTCGATACCATTCTTCCAATGGAAATCGAAAAGGCCCAAACTTTTCCTTTACTTCATGTGAATTACCGTACACTGGCAAGCTGTCATAGGGGAATTACAGTTTCTCTCATCTAAAATAACTTAATACTCTGACGCTGTGTGTGTGTGTGTATATATATATATATATATATATATATATATATATAAAAAATACAGAATCCAGCGCACTCGCTTATTCACTAAATGATTTCAAATCTTAGAGATCAGTGGCATACATACCAGGGTCGCGGCTGCGACCGGGCCCGGCCCACCAAGGGGCCCGGCCGCCCCTGCGACCCGGTATGTACCCACTGGGCCAGCCTCTTCCCCTGGGGGGCCCTGCAGGTGGGTGGCCGGTCGGGCAGGCGAGGGAGCACTGAGTGTGTGTGTGTGTGTACACACACACACACACACTCTCTCTCTCTCGTTTTTGCAAGTATTCATCCAGTTGCTTTTTAAACATTTGTACAGACTGATAAAACCACCTCTTTAGGCAGATTATTCAACAGCCGTATTGTTCTTACTATAAACCCCCCCCCCCCTTTTTTTTTGCCTTTAGACTAAATCTCATTTCTTCCAGTCTAAATTTCTGACTTTGTATCATATGTATGAATAGGTTTTTAGACAATGGTTTATATTGGCCCAGAATACATTTGTATAATCTCATATCCCCTGTCAGGCGCCTAGCAAAATCCAAGTAGAACACATAATCTGCAACATTCTTTTTCTATAATTCTTATTACTTCTTCGTAGAAAGCAATTAAGATAGTTTGACATCACCTATGTTTCATAAAACCATGCTGATTTTTGCTAATAACGTTCTTCCCAATGATTTCTTAGTTATCCACTAATACCAGAAGAAACTCCACCTTACACTGTATGTATATCCACTAATAACCCTTTAAATACTTTCCCAGCCACAGAAATTAAGCTCAAATATTTCGGACCCTTCTGCCTTTCTCCAGTCCATTGATACAATTCCTGAAGGAAAACAATCCTTAAAGATTAAATACAGAGGTTTGCTTATTTCTAAAATAAGCTCCTTAAGTACTTGTGGTGAATACGGTCAGGCACTGGGGCCTTGTGTACATTAACTTTCTTTAGTTATTGCAGCACCTTGCCTTGAGTCATCCAATCAGATTTTTGCAGTAATCATTTGCAAATCTATTGCCATAGATTCTGTCTTAATATATACTGAGGAAAAAAAAAATGGAAAATAAAACGTCTGCCTTTTGCTGGCCAGATAACTGCATAGTCATAGGTCTCATCCCGGAGAAGCAGTATGGATTCTTGATGGATATTTCGAGGCATGCATAGATGTTACAAGATTTGCACCGCGTCAAACCTGCGATCTTGATTAATATTTACTAATACACCAATTTAATTTATCCTGTTGACTATTCTACATATGAGACACGAAGCACTACAGATCTTAACTCTGCACTTGCAGTCTCTCACCACTGTTCAAATCGGTGTAGATTAGACAATATGTAATGGCTGTAGTACAGGGGCCATTTTTAAATCCTCTGAGAGCCCCGATGTCTGTCATGCAGCTCAAAAAATTTGAAACCAGAGTGATTGCACTTAAACACTTCGTACACCATAGCCACTACAAAATGATGCATTGGTTATAGTGCTTAGAATGCCCTTTTAAAGGAACACTATAGCATTAGGAAAACAAACATGTATTATCATTATTTATATAGCTCTAGCAAAATTCCGTAGTGCAGTACAATGGGTTTTTGCTAACATTAGGAGTGCACCCACTACCCATGTCCTGCCCTGCAAAGGGTAAAAAATTATCTTACATCCTGCAACGTATTTGTCTCTCTGCTGCCGCTCCACCTACCTGGCTAAGATTATCAAGATTGATGATCTCAGCAAATCCAATGATTGCTTCCCCATAAAGAATCATTTTGAGGCAAGTGAGCTGCCTGCGAAATGACGCACTTCGCCAATCAAATGCCCTCATTGAGCGTCATTTGATCTATAACCAATTTGAACTCTGTTATAGCTGAAAAAGCGCATCTAGTGGCTGTCTGGACGACAGTGACTAGAATCATATTAAACTTTCAATTAAAACATTGCCATTCCGGCAAAATAGCAATGTGTTCAGTTGCAGGGTTAAAATTACAGGGGTACTGCACCCAGACCACTTCACTGACATGAAGTGATCTGAGTGCCTTTAGAATTCCAGGCATAAAAACATTTTACATTCAAATTTTAAGAAATATCTAATCCCTCCTTCTTCATGGAAATGTATATGTACAAAACGTCTCACATGAATGCTGTTAGTCACCAGAAGGTGGCCACACATGTTTTCCAGGACAATAGACATAACCAAACAAATCAGATCAATTTTACTGAATGTTTATAAAGAAAAAAAAAAAAAACCATAAATCACTTCCATTACATAAGATGCCATTTACAAGACGTTTGCCGATACATTCAAAACCAGTTTCCTAAAGGAAAAATTACTGACTCTTTACATTCATTGAAAACAGTACAGAGAAGTATTGTGTTTCTATAAATGTAGAAATTGATGTGGCATAAATATACAAAAAAGAACTACACACTACCCTTCCAAAACAAAAACAAAAAAAACGCACAATGATTTTTGTTGCAAATATTTATTTACAAAGAAATGTAGTATATATAACAAACATAAATATTCATTTTACCAGCATTTAGCATTTTCAGAACTGTCTATCTTGTGCTGGTCTCGCAGTTACATAGTTACATAGTTGAAAAGAGACTTGCGTCCATCAAGTTCAGCCTTCCTCACAAATGTTGTTGCTGTTGATCCAAAAGAAGGCAAAAAAACCTGGTCTGAAGCGCTTCCAATTTTGCCACAAACTAGGAAAAAATTCCTTCTTGACCCCAAAATAGCAGTCAGATGTCTCCTTGGATCAAGCAGCTATTAACCCACTAATTAGAAATTATATCCCTGTATGTTATGTTTTTGTAAGTATTTATCCAATTTCAGTTTAAACATCTGTATGGACTCTGACAAAACCACCTCTTCAGGCAGAGAATTCCATATCCTTATTGTTCTTACTGTTCAAAGAAGCACTTCCTCTTTAGCGGAATGGAATGCTGGGAACGGATTAACTATGCAGTGGTGAACGCGGGATCTGATTGGTAGCCGACATCAAATACACTCACCAGCCTCTCTTATAACTACCACTGACGTTTTAAACATTATCATCATTTAAACAACTCCCACATACAAATTGCATGATGACAATCTTCACACTGAAAAGTAATTGTCATATCAAGTGACCATTAAATAATAATTAAAGGTCACCACATTTTTGCTGATCATTTAAAAAAAAAAAAAAGTTTATTACATATAATGATATGTATTTTTTTTTATTATTATTATATATATTTTTTTTAGCAAATTCATTTTTTTAACCTGGCTGAGCAGCCATGTTGGGTCAGATTCAAAGATTCGATTGTTAGCTGACCAACTTAGGTTATTAGGTTGGGCAGCAGTGGGTCAGGTAACAGTAGAGTCTGACCTAATATGGCAGATAAAAAAATAAAATAAAAAAAACACCACATTTTCTATCTGGTTTGATCAAACTATTGTTATCTCACCAACTGCTACTCAACCTAATGTGTCTGCGGTTACAACTGCTCTATGTGAAACTGCAGAAACAAGCAAGTTAGAATGTCTCTGTAAATTAATTTTGTGGAGTTTTTGATTACGGTTGTCCTTTAAATATGGACTATGCTACAATTATTATTAAGCCAATTTATGTAGAGAAATCTACAGATGACAGAGAAAATGTACACAATAATAATGGGATTATAAAAACAACCTACAGAAGGACATACCAGCAGGAAATTTAGCTGGAATAAACAGGACATTCCGAATCTGAAAAATAAAAATGCTATAAGGCACAGGATGGTACATGTACTAAGGGGCATGTGTTCCGAAAGACAGATGAGTTTGTTAGGAATGCACAGCATTTATTAGACTTGTTAGGCAGTAGAAAACCTTCACATGGTGCTAGCAACTACTACATCCCCACAGATGCTTCTCCAGCATTATGGGAGATGTAGTCCAAAACACTTAGAGTTCCGAAGGTTGCCTAGCCCTGCACTATAGTCTTACCAGAATGCAAGAAGATTGCTAGTGTCAGAGGCTACGCAATCATGAGAAGTGCATTATGGGATATCACTCACTCACACAGATAGACCGTACACCCACTATGATAATGACAATATAGGACTAAATTAATACAAGTAAGATTTAAGATAAAATCTAATTTAATTTATCACAACATACAAAAAGACAATTTTAACAGGTTTTAGCAAAATATAGGTTTGAAACTCCAATGTGCATTTTCTGGCCAATTTAATAGAACGACTAATTGTTACATCCTTCTTAAATGGCAATGTTATTGCACAAGGAGTTTACTTTCTAGGTAGTCCTTACACTTACACTAAAGGGACACTAAATACAAAAAAAATAAGGATAAAAATATGTATTTTAGCATTATAATGTTCCTTCTTAGTGTAGTGCTAAGCCAATCCAATGCTTCTTACAGAGGTGTACTGAATCAAATGCTTCTCTATGAGTAGCATTATACATGTTTGGTGTCATAATGCTTTTGTTGATGACCCGAAGATCATAAGGTGGAAGTGCTTCTAGGGGTTATCAGTCTAACAGCCATTAGTGGTGGTGATTGGGCAAAATGTGAACATTTGACATTTCTCATAAACAGCAGTGTTTTCCATTGCCAGATCAAAGGGGCAGGACCAAAGCCACTTGATTCTTCAAACATAACCACTTTATTAAGATGAAGTGTTTTTGGTTCTTAGAGTGTAATCTTTTTTCCCCCCAACTGTTGAGTGCTAGTTTATTTTTTTATTTACCGATCTTGCTTGAAATGCATTATTATGATGCTGCCTCTTTACCAGTCTCTCTTTGGGACCCTGGCCACAGACTTTAATAATAGAGTTTTATTTTCTAAATTTTTATCATGTTTAATGTACAACAGAAATGTGGTGTTTTTCTAAATGACTTTTAGTTACAGAACGTATCATTGGTTTGTGTTAAAGTCAAACGGCTACAATATACACCTCCAACCCGCCAAACCCAATTAAACGCATCGCTCTGTAGCCATTTACATTTTGGGAGGTCAGATGGATTCCCCCAGTCTTTCCTTACCCTACACTTGATGAAGACACTGTGTTTCTTTTCAAGGAGAACAAACGTCAGCATGTATGAACAGTTATGTTTTCCTGTAAATAAAGTAAAAGGTTTATGAAATAGTTTACAGTGTGGATTAACACCATCAGACAGAGTCTCATTCGAACTTCACTTTGATATCACACATGTAGAACATGACAAACCAGTTTTGGCATTGAAATGATGGCAAGTGTCATATTTCTTGGACACTTATCAAACAGGATACATAGCAAATGCATACAGGGGGTTTGGTCATGTAGAATATCAAGTATATATGTGGTCTCTAAATGCAATCCACTTCAGCTAGATCATGTTTTTTGACATTGCCATCCAAAAGACCACAATTGTTTGTTCTCAATTTACTGCTCGTCCAAGTTTTTTTAGAACCTGAAACACCAGTAATAGTGCCAAGGACTAGATTGGGAACTACTGCCGTACCTTTCTCCTGCAGGATGTTTTGATGCTTTGTACTCCTCCACCGAGCCTCATTAGTTAAAGTCTTCCAAGATTTGTCCATACCTCAACTTTTTCCTTAACTGTCTCTTAGTGGACGAAAACCTTCGTTAAAGTCATGCAAACTAAAGAAAATATAAATTAATATCAGATGTTGAGGGATATAAATAAATAAAATCAGATTGCAAAGTCAACAAAAAAAAATAAAAATCTGTTGCCAATTTAAACTTACTTATATTAAAGTAGATGATCGTAGCATCTCTCTGTGGAATGCTGTATTTTTTTTTTTTTTTTACCAAAGCCAATATATAGGAATCAGAATATAATAATGGCTTTTACTCAGGAAAACAGTCTTCTATAGAGTGGAACTTAAAAAGTTCCATCTGTTCAGCTGCTAAGAGGATTACCTTACAACGCCCTGCGTGTTTTTACTTGGCCCTTATCCAACTGCATAGATCCAAAGTTCTGGGCATTTCATTTAAGTTTATAAATTAAAACCAGGAGCACAAATCACATTAGAATGTTCACAATATAGAGTTGTGTTGTATGTGTAAGTCAGTCACTCAGAGCTAGAACCCACCCAAAAGGTTTGGGAAAAACAGATATCTTAAAAGGATGAAGCCAATACTGAAGTCACCTGTGCCTAAGCATGGATACCATGAAATTCTATCTTATTGGTATATTTGAAGGACGGTTTGGCAAATTGTGATCCATGGTCCTCTATTCACTAAGGCCACTAGCCGCAGGAATGCTAGAAGACATTCACCGAACATGCATAGCATCATATGAACACACACACCCAGTACATTTTTATACCAGACCACACCTGTCCATGCAAGTGTGAAGGAAATTAGAATATTATAGGTGTTCCATTACAATATGCGTAATGTATTAAAAAAGAAATAGTTTGAAAACTGAAACATAATGTGCTTGTTTAATGGGCAAATAATGCCATCAAGTAGGTCAGGTGACATAACACCCCACTCCCGACCACCCACACAAACATTGCTCTTTCTTAGGCGGTTATTGGACATGCGTCCAAAGCTGCCCACAATTCATGGGACCATGTATGTCATGAAGTTACCCTATGACTGATGGATTCTATGTTGACCAGTGTCAGGCAGGAGTCAATCTATGAGGCCAAAGGTTTTATTTTATTTATTTATTATTGCTATTTATAAAGCGCACACAGATTCCGCAGCGCTGTACAATTAGTTGAGAAATGTACAATATACACAAACGGTAAGAGAGCCCTGCCCGTAAGCTGATATCTAGCCATTGGAGCTCTTTTATACAAAGTGCTTAGCTAGATGGCCCGTGAGCTTACAATTGAGTGGTTTATGAATATGTCCAGAATTCAAAACCGGAATTGGGGGGAAAAAACGTTACACTGAAAAAGCAAACCCCAGCTACTGTGGAGTGCAGTGGCAACCACACTACCCGCCTCAATATATATTCTTCTAGGAGTGAGGGCAGTCTATTGAGGATTCTCATCGAAAAAAAATGAAAAGTAAACCATTACACAGTGATCCCACTCACTCAAATAAAAATATGGGATTTCACCACTACATTAAGAGATACTGAGAACTGAACTACTGGATTTTTTCTTCCATTGGTGAGATCCACCCATATAACATCATAGTGTGTACACACTGGGACTGTATATACTTACTTTTTCCATTTTTGCACTTTTTGTATTTTTTCATTTTTTACTTTTTTGTTTTGCTTTTTTTCCCTTTTTTTCTCTCCCACTTACCCTACTCTCCTGGATGACATATCTGTTTGGATTTACAGATACAGTAATTTAACACTTAATTCTTTGATGTGGTCAGGGACTCTCTTTAATTAACATGAAGTTATAATGAAGTTACAATAGTAGACTCACAATGCATTGTTTCTACTAAACTTTATTGGTTTATTCCAGCTTGTACATATTATCAATTCAAGTGTGTATATATGAATTTTTTCTAATTTTCCAACTTTATAGTATTTCACAACTAATGAATTATACTTAATTAACGATTGATTAAATTCAGCAATTAACTTTATCTTTGAGTGCAGTATCATTATTTTTTGGATTTTATTTAAAGGGCTACTCCAAACACAATTACCACTTCTGCTTTTTGAAATGGTCATGGTGGTTGGAATCTGGATATGCAGTTTTTCAGTTTGAAACATATTTGTAATTTTGTGCTGGGGGCAAGTTGCACCTGAGTCAGTAAAATGGTCCAATCAAGGGCTTCTCGATGAGAAGACTTTGATTGAACATTAACACTGCTCCCAGGAGTCCAGACAATCATGTGCCAAGCATCTTCACCCTGCGTTAGCTTAATGAAGCAGTTTTTGTGTGTAGATCATGTCTCTGAAGTTTCACTGCTCAATTCTCTGTCATTTAGGAGTTAAATCACTTGTTTCTGTTCATGCTGCCCTAGACACTCCTTCCCTGGGTGTGACTGACACAGCCTGCATGAAACAAAATGGTATCATTTCCATTCAGATGTAACTTAAAGATGTTTTTCTCCTGCTCTGAAAAATTGAACTTTAATAATAAAAAGGAGGCTCCAACAGGGTCTAGCAAACTAACAGGGCAGAAGATGAGAAATTCCAAATGAAACAGAATTTGCAATAAAGGAAGTGTAAACATTAGATTAATCTTTACAAGAAGTGTTTAGGAATGATGTGCATGTCACATGGAGGAAGGTGTGACTATAGCTGCATAAACAAAGTGATTTAACTCCCACATGGCATAGAATTGAACAGTGAGTGAAGGGGCATGATCTATACACCAAAACTGCTTCTTTAAGCTAAAGTTGTATTGGTGACTATAGTATCCCTTTAAACTTTACTTTAAAAGGCTCTTTGAGAGTTTTTTAACAAAGAATAATGCCAATAGGGCATTATTCTATTAAACATCAAAAAAATGGCTGGAGAAACCCTATAAACTCTCCATTAAAATATACAAAAAAACACAAGAAAATTGATTAAATATTATGTAGTAATGTCATTGAAGCCAACTCCACCCTATATGTTTTATCAGTATTGAGGATCTCGTAAAGTTGTAGGAAAACACCTATATAAGACTCTCTAACATGTTTCTAGCATTAATGCTGTTGATCCAGAGATTGGTGAAATGTCACCTTGTAGACTTCAGCTACACTGCACTCACCAGCTCCTAATCCGCTGGGGTGGATGAATGGGAGTTACATCTTATAGTAAAACAGCTTTCAATTAACTACGGGCTGTGAATGTGTACACACAACATTGCATTCAACCTCTTTTAGTGAATTATTGTATTTCTAAACTTAAATTTCTTGTATCAGTTGTACGTCACTATATGAATTTTTTTTTATGTATTTTTTCCTATGTGCAGTGAGTTATCAGTTTCTTTACATCTGCTTCTACCATCTTAACACCACAAGGAGGGCATATTTCCTGTACTGCATGTTTTCCTATTTATTCACCACTTGTTTTGAACAGAACATTTTATATTTAATTAAAAATAGCCCTTAAACCACCTTACTCCGCCTCCTGCACGTACATTAAAGGGTTTGTGTTTACATATTCTGTAGAGATTTTTTTTAAAGGAGATCTGGATGTTTGTTTTTTTCTTTAATTTTTCAGAATATTTAATGATATACTTATACACATGTTATAGCATAGTTATCCAATTAGAAATCTGATAGTAATTACGGAATCATGAAGTATTTTAATTTCCCCCACTTGAAGGATTATTCGCTTAACTGTGACGGGTACCAAATTAAAAGTCAAGTTGCAAAATTTAAGCTAAGTGACTATAACTTTCTTTGAGAATTTCTCCCAAGTCAGCTAATATTGCAATTCAGATTTGGTACAATTCACAGTTTAATTTTCACCTTCTGTTGGCTCAACAGCATAAATGTGTGTGAAAGGTTCTACTGGATGAACTAAAGAATTTTCTCCCCCAATATCAATTATGATGCAACTTATATAATCTATAAGGAGCATTAAAAAAAAAAAAAAAACACCCGAATGTTAGTATTTGTTTGGGAAACCTGCAAATAAATGTACCAAGTGGTAGCCCTCTACCCATGAATACCTGTTTAGAAGGTAGCAGAACCTCTGTTCACAGTTCTTCAATGGACACGTAAACCACCATTACAATTTTAGCATACGGTTTGGTTAAAGACACTCCTAGTCTTACGTTATATCACTCCTTAGTGCTGTAGCTTGCCATCATATATTTATTAGACTCCAGTTGTGTGCATAGGCTTCTAAAGATGTGTACAAGACTTGCATGCTGTATCTTAGACATTGTTGTGCATAGTTTTTTATAAGATAGCGGCTACAGCAGTCACACAGATTTTATGTGAGAGCCTGTAGCAAGTCACATAATCATGTAAATTTATATACGTAGGATTAAGTAACTTCACTGTATTACTTCCAATAATGTGAAAAAAATATTAGAGCTATCAAGTCACAAGTACTTCGGTGGTTTAAAAAAAAATAATAAAATAAAAAAAAAAATAGGAAAACCATAAAAAAAAAGGAAAAAAAACACAGCTCACATTTGCCAAATGCAGAGGAATTTCTCTAGTTGACAAAACGTAACTAGGCCTCTACCAATAATAACTATTTATGTAGCACCAAAGATTTCCACAGATGTTAAGATCCGTTTGAGCATTGTTGTAATGCTTTGGCAGTTTGAGCACAGGTAGTGACCACTCCTGGCATAACCGATTACAAATAAATAAAAGTTTTGTGTACATTTTTCCATGTGGGATTGTTGAATAATAACAAAAGAGACAGAAAACAAAACAAAATAATTCTGAGTGATATGTCTTGATGACCAGTTTTGGGATGGCCGCCAGAGGGGTCTAGACAATCCCAAGATGAAAAGGACTGCATAAAAGACTTCGATTTGGGTTACCCAATTTAAGCTTTGCTACATGGAAGAAGGGAAAATAAATGAAAACCTAAAGTGACTTTTCTTCGCACTTTTGAAGTTTAGGCGAGAAACATATGTGATAAACTTAAGCAATTAAAAGCGTCCTTATATAGATACTTATTAAAGTATTTATACATATTATCTTAAATCTACATCTATCATTTTGCCAATTAAAATTAGGACCGTAATTGCAATTAAGTAATTTAATTGCCAATTGAACAGCAAAATTGCTAAGTGACTAATTTTAATGCCTATTTAATTACCAATCATGACTGGGGAGGTTGCTAATCAAGTTATATCAAGCAGTACCAGGGTAACGATCTGCATAAAATGAGAACAAACAGACTACATCCTGAAAAAGAACCATATGAAGAATTAAAAGACATGCATAGAACAGACTGAATGATGTACATCAGGGAAACATTCATATGACTTGCTCTACATTAACCACAGTAATCCAGATATACTAAGCGGAATAAAGACTACAAATGCATTGCCTGCAGAAGAAGCCATCAGGGCTGTGTTAGAAGAAAAAAAAAAAAAAAAAGTTAAAATATTCATAGTAAAGAAAAAAAATTAAAATAAAAAAAAAAAGGAAAAATTCAAAGGAATCAGTTTTGTTTGCAATATTTAGTGTGCATTAAAAATTATGCTACAAATAGATTAGGTCGCAATAGGTGAACATTGTCTTAATGTATAAAAAAATAAATAAAAAAATAAATAAATAAAGCGTTCCAAAGATTAAAGCAAAATAAATAGATCGCAAGGCGGCTTTAGAAGACACATGCAAAAAACGCAAAGGGAGAGAGAGAGATCTATCTTGTTTCATAAATTCACCAAATCCATTGAGTGCTCTCATTTTTGGAGAGAGATATTGATATATATATATATACATATACACACACATACATATATTATACACATACACACACACCTCAGTATACTAAATTATATATAAACTCAATGGACAAGTGCATTTGTCAACCAAAAAGAAGAAGTCACAACACGGCTGTAGAAATACATTTTTATTAATCTACGAACACAAGACATCACTTATCGTACAACTGGAATGATACAAGACTATTTACTTGTTATGATGGAGAATTCTTTTGGGCTACGTATCACATGTCATGATAAGTGAAAGCTGACAAATTCTGCATCATTTTCAATTGTTCTGCAGTTTGTCAACTTCCCTGTGCATCATGTCAGTTCTGTCTTGATACTGACAGTGGTAAGCAGCCTTAGACCTGTCTGCCTGACACACACATGACAATTTTATCTTAAAAGCATTTCTCATGGCTTTCTTCAGTCAATTCCCATTCACGTACCTTGTTTTACCAGCAAAAAGTCAACTGTGCAATGAAGCGCGAAAATGCTTTTTTTCTAAAATAAATAAATTAAAGATAAAATAAAAATGTCATAACATTGTGAGACAGATACATTGTTAAAATAATACAGGAGGGGTTTAGTGGTATTTTATTCATCATTAATTTAAAACAATTATGCTAATAAACTAGTTGTAAAAATAACCAACCACCAATAATACCACAAATACCCAGACATAGGTCTGATGTTAGATCGATCTCTTTCAGAATTCGAATAAAGCCAATATCTTAAACACACACAAAACACAGATATAAAACAGACAAAAATCCAGAAAAATATATACATACATATCGATGATAAAAAAAATAAAATAAGATATAAAAATTAGATTTTTCATTTTGAATTTGTCTGTTTCAGAGAGAAAATTAAATGCATGTTTTCAGGTACTCTAAATTTCTAATGTGTTAGGGCCTAAAAATGTGTTCTTGTTTTTTTTTTTTAATACTATTTTCTGTTACACAGGAAAAAATAAATAAAAAATAAGCAAGCTTTTTTCTGTAAATTTAGTTTATAACATTTCAGCAACAATTTTGCTGGTTTATAATTAATGAATCCCCAATCTTAACCCACAGAGCGTCAGATTGGAAAACAATTACCCAGCAGTCAGTGGGTTACAGAAAACCATGTGAATTAGCATTAGATTTCTGTGATATGCACTCACTGTAACCTTTACATTTCATTCCTTTTTTCTTATGATAACAACTTGCATGCCTTTTCAGAGAAGCCAAAATATGAATTGACTAGGTGACAACAATGATAGACTAAGTAACTTTATTGATGATTAATACAGGGATAATTTTGTGATTACCAAAATAGTCCATATTTAACTAACATCTATTTTAACTGTTTAATGGAAATAAGCATGGCGAGAAATACATTTGTCTTGACGGATTACAACTCTATGGGGGACATTTCTCAAAGTCGAAAATAAGAGGAAATCACCATAGAAACCAACACATAATATTGGCAACATTGTGGGACCATTAGTAGCTGGTTTGCCTATATATCGCAATCCTTATGTTTGCATGTAAAAAACAAAATTAAAAAATGTATGGGCAGTGTGTAAATATGGGGGTGTGATGTTTCAATATAGCTTCTTTTGGGATGAAGGTGAAAACGATGTGAGATCAAGAGCTATTAAATGTATCATTCGCAATAAAAATAAAACTCATTTCAAATAAATATACAAAACAATGAGAATATTGGCTTAAGGGACAAAAAAAAAACAAAAAACAAAAAAACTGTTAAACCTTTCAATACAGAAAAAAACTAACACACACAAGAGACAACCAATGCTAGGTGGAAGATATCTGCACAATGACCTTTAATTTAAAAAAAAATATATATATATAGAAGTGTGATGGCAGGATTATATCAGATTATGATGAGAAGAGGAGGAAAAATAAAATTCCCAAGCATCATGAATCTCCCAATACAATGTATATGATTGATATGAAGAAGGGTGAGGGGCTAATTGGACCATATGGAAACATGTTGCATGACATATGCTATCTGCCCATCCTTGCTTAAACAGCCATTAGCAACATCTGGACCAGGCATAAACCCAGCTGTGCTCCAAGAACACACACACACACTTTTTACTAGCATCATTTTAAACAAGATTTGTAGGACCAAATCCAAGTTCATTTTAAAAATAACAAGCAAAAAAAAAGTGGTTCTTTTATCAGCACCATGCACACTTCTATAAATAGAGGGGTTTGAAGAAGAAGCTTACACCAGATGACATGCATTCCTTTATCTCACAGCTAAAATTACTACCAATTACGTGTTCACTCAGATGCCCCTCCTCTACACAAAGACTAAATTTAGTATGGGAAGAACACAGCCTTAGAACATGTTTTGTGCAAAGTCAGGCTTGGTGACAAAAAACAAACAGGTCCATGCAATGAAGGCTGCCTTACAGCAGGAATACCCTGACAGATCTAGGCTGTCACTACAATGACAGGCACTTTAGTGGTGCTAGCCAAAGGACTACTGAGTCCAGAATTAGTGTCCCAGTTATAAGGACACCTGTCCATCACACATACTCTACAGTATCAGTTGTACAATCTGTACCTGGCTATAGGGGGCTGATGTCACCATCCTCAAAAAACACGTTTTAGCCACAAATATTCGGATTATTTCCATTGAATACGGAGGCTGCACTTTATCAGGTTATTGTTATCAGCTTTCCACTGACTGCAGTATATCTGGCTGTTTGTGTTTAAATACAGAACCTGGTTCAGGGCTTGGTGTATGAATTGGTTATATTCACTAAACTAAGCTGCACATTTTAGGCCAAAAACAGATCAATTTGGGGGAAAGTAACTTCTGCTCAACTTTTTCTGGCAAAATGTGCAATTTCATATTTAGTGAATGCATTTCTTACAGGTATTTGCGCTGATAGGAATGTCCATTATACACAACACTGGCTGGACCCCCTAAATATACATCACAACAAACCCCAGTTTAAAGAGCCATAGCTGGACGTGCAAAATATGCAAGACGTTCCATATTGGCACAGGGTCTATAAGGGCCAGACTGGTTCTTAATGGATTGGCTATATCCTGGTGGACCTTAAGGGGTTAAAAGAAAAAACAGCAATGGTGAGAGCACTTTCGTATAAGACGAGAGATGAGATAAAATAAAATATAGCCATACATCTCACACACACACACACTTTAGATTTGAAAGATAGAAGTGTAAAATAAAATAACTATTAGACACACATGAAGACTTAAAAATTAAAAAGTGTGATTGAGGTTTGTAAAAGCCCCAAGTTAAAAATAATAAGAGCATGTAATGTTCCTGTGATGACACAGGTCTCTCCCTCCCACACCCTTTACCCTCTGTTGATCCTCTTCCTGCCCTCCTTGCAGCGAGCTCCAGGAATCTCTCTTCTTGTGCAACATCCAGAGGCCAGCTGGCAGTGCAGAACCGCCCCCCACCAATGCATGCAGTGCAGGACCCCCCCCCCCAAAGCATGCAGTGGGGAACCCCCCATGCATCCAGTGCAGGACCCCCCCAAAAGGATGCAGTGGGACCCCATGCAGAGCATGCACCCCCATATTATTAAAATGCTTTTTTTTTTTTTTTTTGCATGCTGCCCCCCAGCTCACCCCCATTATTTGGTCCCTGGTCTCCCTCCCCTGCCTCCATGATGTTTTTATTTCCAGCTTGCCCCCCTCGGTGTGCACGGTGCTGGGCAGCCAGATAAAGCGCTCCATTGTATCAGCCCAGCCGTCCAGGCGCAGCACCGCAAGCCCCAGTCTCTCCAGCCAAACACGTCATCCAGCACGTCAGCAGGGCCTGTCTCCGTGACGTCAGCCGCCCTATAAATAGCCCACGGGGGGCGGTTCCAGGCAGGTTCATTCATGGTTGCACGTCTTGAAATAGTCCACAGGCGCACATGGTGGAAGGAGATACATTGTATCTGCGGCTTCCCCCACACGTGTTAAGGAAACTCTACTTTCCACTAGAGGTGTTGCAAGTCCTGTGATCAGTGTGACTGATGTAGCAAGCTTGCTATGCTCACACAAACCCTGCCCTGCAGCTCACATCCTCATTAACTCTTTACAAACCGTGCTGGGGAGGAGTACTGAGTCCAGCACTCACAGGGTTAATGTGAGACTTCTCCAAGTGTCCTGAAATGTCCCCAGAAATGTCTCGAGTTAGGGATTTTTATTTTTTATTTTGCTAGAAGTTCTAGACACAGTCAAGCCATAAGACTTGCTTTTCCCACAGAAATCCCAAATCTGCAGTGATGTTACTACCGCAAAGGATTCTGGGTGGGCATATGCAAATTAGTTAAACAAAGAATCAGATTTTTGCCTCATTCCATTTTAAACATGGATTCCTTTGATTCTGTGTTTACAACAGCTTGGAACACAATTTAGGAAAAGATGCAAAACCAGTGAACCACTCAGGGACAGCTGTTTCGTTGTTAAAGGGATACTATAGTGTCAGGAAAACAAATCGGTTTTCCTGACATTATAGTACCCTCAGGGTCCCCCTCTCGTGGCGCTAAAACCCCTTCAGTAGCCCACCTAATTCCAGCGCCCAGGTTCCCTTTCCTCTCCTCCCCCGCCGACATCAGCATCCTCCTCCGATGTCACAGGAGCCGAATGCGCATGCATGGCACTGCCGCGCGCGCATTGAAAGTGTCCGTAGGAAAGCATTTTTCAATGCTTTCCTACGGACACTCTGCGTGATTGCCTCAATCATTGCAGATGCGCCTCTAGTGGTTGTCTGGAAGACAGCCACTAGAGGCTGGTTTAACCCCAAATCTAAACATAGCAGTATCTCTGAAACTGCTATGTTTACACCAGGAAGGGTTAACCCTAGAGGCACCTGGCACCCAGACCACTTCATTGAGCCGAAGTGGTCTGGGTGACTATGGTGTCCCTTTAATGCAGCGCATCAGCATGAGGTTGGTTACTGGTTTGCTTATTGAGGCTTGGTAGTGCTTGGGAAGCAAAATCCAAATAGGTTATGGTGGGAAAAATTGTGTTTGAAAAACTGGTTTTGCATCTTTTCCTAAGTTGTGTTCCAAGCTGTTGTATACAGCAAACACAGACTCAAAGGAATCCATGTTTAAAATGGAATGAGGCAAAAATTTTATTCTATGTTAAACTAATTTGCATATGCCCACCCAGAATCACTGCAGATTTGTGATTTCTGTGGGAAAAGCAAGTCTCATGGCTTGACTGGTGTGCAGATTTTTGTTTAACATTGTAATAACTATCCACAGACTTCAGGTGGAAGGGGTTTTCAATCACAGTTTTTCCCCACCATAAACTTTTTGGATTTTGCTTCCCAAGCACTACCAATCCTCCCTAACTCAGCTCAAGGTCATGGCACCAGGAGCCCGCACCCGAGTCTGCACACAGAGCCCATCCTGAGTCCACCCACAAGGAAGCAGTGTGTGCAGTGGCGTACACACAATCCATGGGGCCCCGGTGTGAAACTGATCCGTGGGCCCCCCCCTCTTTCCCCTCTCTTCCCTCTATCCTCTGATCCATGCTCCCCTCTCTCCCCCGATCTGTATCCCCCCTGACACATACATACATACAGACACACACACACACAAACATACATCCCTCGACAGACACATACAGACACACACACATATATACACACAGACACATACATACAGAGACACAGGCACACACATACAGAGACACAGACACATACATAGACACACATACATAGAAACAGACACATACATACGGGGCCCCATGGATTGTGTGTACGCCACTGCATACAGAGACACACACACATACATACAGAGACACACACACATACAGAGACACAGACACACATACAGAGAGACACAGACACCCATACATACATACACAGACACACACACATACAGAGACACAGACACGCATACATAAAGAGACACACACATACATAAAGAGACACATACAGAGAAACACACACACATACACAAAATGTTTCCTACCTTGTTACTTTTCCTGGGGTCCAGTGGTGGCTCAGCCTAATGGGAGTCAGAGTTCCCACTCTGACTCCCTCCTCCTCCTCCTCCTTCCTCCCTCACGGGCTTTCAGTATGCTGGGAGGAGTGACCGGGGAATCACTTCCTCCCAGCTTGTGATGTAATCACAGGGGGCCCGGTCGCACTGTTAAAGCGCCCCTCACAATCCATATCCATCGGGTGGCCCTGACAGCATGGGCCACCCGATGGACCCCTTAACACGCAAAATGTGGCAGCAGGCCTGGTACCCGGTCGCAGGGGTCCGCAGGGTGGCCAGGCTCCCTGGAGTGCCGGGCCCGCCCCTGCGACCACGGTATGTACGCCGCTGAGTGTGTGTGTACTGAATGTAGTGTGTGTATCGAGGATGTAGAATATATAGTAAATGTAGTGTTTGTGTGTATTAGATGCAGTGTTTGTAGTGGATGCTTTGTGTGTTTGTGTAGTTGATGTAGTGTGTGTGTGAATGTTGTGTAAAATAGTTGCTGCATTCTATGGGAACAAAAAAAAAGCATTTTTTTTTTTACATTTATTATAATTAATGTAGTTTTATTCCTCCCTCCCTGCTTCTTCCCTGTGGCAGATTGCATCCCCTGGTGGTCCAGTGGCTTTGTGCAGGCCCCTGCATGGCTACCTGTATACTGCTCAGGGGGCCCACCACACTGTGTCTTCTCTTTTCAGCTGCTCCTCACTCCAATTCTCGTGAGCCCGGTGTGCGAGCCACGTGGAGCGTTGCCATGGTAACCCGCAATGCTCTTATGGCCGTGGTGCTCGCGTGGATTATAAATAGAGGAACTGTAGAGTGAAGAAGGAGTGTGCTGGGCCCCCTCTGCAGTATGCAGGTAGCTGGGGTTCCGCAGGGGCACATATCTATATAAATCGATAATCGCTATTTATGAGCACTTTGAGACTGCGGGGCCAGAGTTTTCCAGATTAGTCCAGACCCCCCAGGACTGCCAGGCTCGTGACAACCACCATGGTTGTCACCACTTGATGGCAGCTCTGCTGTGGCCCAGTGAGTCCAAGGTAAGTTGTCAAACCATTTTAAAATGGATTGATTGCTGACACTAGAAGTGTTGCCAAGCACTTCTGGGCTGTAGTGCATACCTTGAAAAGTGCCCCTGTATAGGAGAGACAGTCCCTATTTTTGCAACAAATCCGTCCATCCATCTTTTCTAGCCTTATGTCCCTCTTTTCTTGGAGTTCCATATTGTTGGTGTGTCTGAGTGTATCACAGAGCTCCACACCAATAATACTCACAATGCTGTGTCTTTAAACTACAATAAATGTATTTATAAATCCGTCTGTGTAAAGAAGATACAGTGTCCTTTTTTAAAAGACAATGCTCATAGTCATTTTTACAGCAATGTCATGTATTCCCTGTGCGTACTGTTGACACTGTGAGGAGTCTAACAAAGGTGTTTGTCCTACATTAACTCATTATGTACTACATTGCCATGAAAAATGGCTCATTAGGATAATTTTATAGTTTTAGAACAGGCCATGCATTATTTGGGTGCCTGTAGAAATAAAAAGGTTAGAAACCCCTGCATTAGAGGTAGCAGTACTTGGTAGGGATGTGTATGGAGAAAATTTTCGGTTCGGCATTCCGAAATTCGGGATTTTGGTAATTTGGAACTTCGGTTCGGCACTTCGACACTTCGGCACTTTGAAATTTCCGGGACTGCCGCACTTCAGGACTTCTCTTGCAACCGCTTAGTAGATAACTCCCTAATTCCCACGGTATTAGGGAGTTATCTACCAAAAGGCTGAAAGACCTAAATTGGTCTTTCAGTCAAATTTACTAATACTAAGTAAAAATTAATTAGTATTAGTAAATTCTGCCCCTACTCGCTATACCGCGAGTAGGGGCATGTCTATTAAACAGTTAGCAGCCTGGGGCTGCTCACTGTTAAAAAAAAAAACGAGTCCCTCCCTCCCGAGCCCCCACCCGTGACGTGCGAGTGGGGGCTTTTAAACTAAAGAGGGGACCTATTGTCCCCTCTGTCCCCCACCCCTGAGTGACGGGTGGGGGCCCTAAAGTAAAATAAGGGGGGGGACCTATTGTCCCTCCCGGCCCCCACCCCTGAGCGGTGGGTGGGGACCCTAAATTACTTGAAAGGGGGATCTATTATCCTCCCCCCTGGCCCCCACCCCTGGGAAGTGGGTGTGGGCCCTAAAATACTTCAAAGAGACCCCTGAGCGGTGGGCGGGGGCCCTAAATTACTTGAAAGGGGGGAACCTATTGTCCTCCCACCTGGCCCCCACCCTCGAGCGGCGGGTGGGGGCACTAAAGAAGAATAAAGGGGGGACCTATTGTCCTCTCCCTGGCACCCACCCCTGAGCGGTGGGTGGGGGCCCTAAGTTAGAATAAGAGGGGGACCTATTGTCCTCCCCCCTGGCCCCCACCCCTGAGCGGTTGGTGGGGGCCCTAAATACCAATAAGGGGGGAAACCTATTGTCCTCCCCCCTGGGCCCCACCCCTGAGCGGTGGGTAAGGGCCCTAAATTAGAATAAGGGGGGGCCTGTTGTCCTCCCCCCTGGCCCTCACCCCTGAGCTGTGGGTGGAGGCCCTAAATACCAATAAGGGGAGACATATTGTCCCCCCCCAGCCCCCACTCCTGAGCAGTGGGTGGGGGCCCTAAATACCAATAAGAGGGGGACCTATTGTCCTCCCCCCCTGCCGCTCAGGGGTGGGGCCCTAAAGAAAAAATTTAACCCCCCCAGGTGACTAGGGGTCTCCAAATCCCTAGTCACACCCCTCCCCAAAAAATTAATTAACCCCTACCTTATAAAGCCTTGCCCCGCCCTGCAATTAGGATCAGAGCACTCTGGTTGTTTTAAGCCATCCAATCAGAGTGCTCTGACAGGTAAATGAAGAGACTTACAGGTAAGTCTCTACATTTACCTGTCACAGCACTCTAATTGGTTAGCTTGAAA